AGGAGAATGCCTGTACTGCGAACCGCTCCATAATATTCTCTGGCGTAGCAGGGTACGCGAGGCGAACGGGCGGAAGGCTACGTCGTCGGCTTCAAACTCCCGCAGAGAACTCATTTGACTTTTTGAATGCGTGTTTTTAGCTGGGAATGATAGACATAAGTTCAAAATGATTTTGGCTGTACCTCACGCATTTCTAAATGTCAGTACCAGTTGCTAAGTTTAATGATTCCTGCTGTTCCGATGGTGACAATAGTTCTGAGTGGATATCAGTCGCATCTCTCGCAGTGCGACAGTGGCAGTAGCCACCTCTTTCAGGGTCAGTGTCCATCCGTTCGCTCTAGCATGCTGGCCTCAAACTGGTAAAAATAATTGGCCCAAGTGGTTTTTTCAAGTCAAACTGTGGAGGTTTAATAACTGACTTTGGAGATATACCTTATTCTCTTCGACTAGTTTCGGTGCCATACCTGATATTTCTTTGACATTTTGGTACACCAGCGCTTTTCTATTTCTTTTGTTTTAAAATTTCCTGATTTTTTATTTTTACATCGTCACCCAATTTTGTGTTTACTATTTTGTCTCTTGTAGTAGCTCCGTAGAATTTCTCTATAATCTTTTTTCTTCTAATTCCCTGGAATTTTCTGTTATCTTTTCTTCTAAATTAAGCATTTCCATTATTAAAGCTGGTCTTGTCTGGGCTCTTAGAATTTTCTGCGATCTTCTAAAACATTATTAATTTTATCACTGATTTTCTCTTCTAAATTAACTTCCAAGTCAATTATTTTACTATTCAAATTGTTCAAAAGTTGTCGCCCAATTTTAGAATTCTCTGTCATTTTTTTTTTACTATTCAAATTGTTCAAGGATTGTCGTCTAATTTGTGTAGGCTATCGAGTCAAGGTCACCTTCCAACTCAAAGCAAAAATAGTGTCAGGATCCTCCACCGGTCCTGTCCACCAAAACGTCTCTCAGTCCTAGCTTTGCAAAATGCTTTCTCTTTCCATATGTTTCGCACTCTCTCTCTTTCACATGCATTTCTTGAAGCTCGAGGACACTTTCAAGTCTCTTTCAACAATTTTTCAGAGCCATGGTCAGTCTCTTTACATTCTTCTAATCCTATCACACACGCCATAATTTTGACACCAATTGTTACTGTTTTCAATGGTTCCGTGTGGATAGAAAAGTCACAATTTATTTAAAACACTATTTATTTAACACTAATTAACAAAATAATAACGATAAATTAACAAAATAATAACGATAAAAGACTTTATAGAGACTATTTTCATGGCTAAACGATTTTATAACTAAGAATTCTATTTTGAATTTGGCGCGTCCAACTGTATATTTATAACTGCCCTCTCTAGGCCACTGCCGCTTCGGCTTTCTATACCGACAAGGTAAAAGAGAAATCTAAATAGTCAAAGATCGTTAGGCGCACTAGAAAAGTTTCGAATGTTCTCGTATCTTCAGCGAGTCCATTCTAGTGGGTCTTGATTCTTCTCGAACAGAATGAATCATTGTGGTGTCTATGCGATGTTAAGGTCATCCAAGGGGCCGGACCACTTTATATATTGTGAGGGTTAGGTCAAGTCCACAACTGGCTCACAACACAATATATGATGGAAAAGAAAGCAAACACGGATAGGGATTTTTTAAAAACATATGTTTCACTGACGAATGCACGTTTACCTTAAATAATGAACCCAATGTTCAAAATTATCGATATTGAAACAAAGAAAACCAACACAGGTTTGGCGAAACAAGGACGCAATATCCACAGAAAGTAAATGTTTGGGCAGGGATATTCTGACACAATATTATCGGGCCATTATTTCTTACGCGAAATTTAAATGCAGAATATTATTTGGAACTACTCGAAAATCATATTTTACCTGCTTTACATGATGCCGCTAGCGAAAACAGGAAGTTTGGTACCAATGGATGGCTGCCATAGGGAAAATCAGGAAGTTGGTACCAAATGGACCGGCTGCCCGGCACATAAAGTACCCTGGGAATTTTAGACAATAGTTTTAACGGAAACGTTATTGGCCTAAATCATACAGTAAATTGGCCAGCAAGGTCTCCTGATATTTCGCCAAATGATTTCTTTCTCTGGGGCCATTTAAAAAACAGGATATACAAGGATAAAAAATACCCAAATCTAGACGAGTTAAAAAATGCTATTTCTGCCGAATGCAATAGCAATATTTTTGTTGGTAGTGTACAGGGTGTCCCAAATTAAAGGATAGCCATTGGTATCTCAGAATTTATAAATACGAATGAGGTCAAATTATGGGAAAGTTTTGCATTTTTTGTCAAAAAAGTTTGGGAAATTAAAAAGTCCCGTTTTAAAAAATAAAAGTTGATGAAAATAAAAGTTGATATCTCGGAAACGAAACGTCAAATTTTAAATTTAATGCCACCATATTTTAAAAAAAGTGACTATGATGAAGTGGCATTTATTTTAAAATATCTCTTCAAATAAATCCATGAAAAATTAAAAACGATTTTATAATACATTTTTTTTTGTCAATTAATTCTCGTCAATATCCTCAAAAGTCTTAAATACAATATACAATACAATATAAAAGCCGAAAATTTTTAATTAAGCGACATTTTAGTAGTCATAAAATTGCGCAACTTTGACATAATTTGAATTCCTTTGTATTTCTTATGGTCTCTAAGATCACAGATTGACCCTCGAATTAGGGACACCCTGTATATGTAAAATAATATAATTTTAAATTATGTTGTATTAATGTAAAATAGTATAATTTTAAGTTCATATTAAATTTGATTATATTATATTATTATTTATTTTTTAAAAGAAATACGTAAAATAATTTTAACCGGATTTTCCACGCAGATACCAAAGTATAACAAACGAACGAGTAGCGACAGTAAGCGTCGGAACCTTTGATGTTTGATGTTCCAATTTTAGCCGGCGGCCTTGAAGGTGATCCTGACTAATACACTGCTGAAAACGTGAATTATGTCGAATACAATGTAAGAAACTTGAAGTGGACTCATAGAACACATGGTTAAATGTACTTACTGATCAACCAACTGGTCTTGTTAAACAAGGGCGATACGCACAACACGTTCCTGACTGGCCTGGCTCATCCGCCACGACCCACGACATCAGGAAAAAAAAACTTTTTATTTTTTGTTTAATTAAATGAAAAACAAAAAATCCAACGACGACAGTTTTTAGAAGAGCCAATTAGCTATATTTTAGTAAAAAAAGCAACTTTCTAGAGCAAGTCATTACTTCAGTAGAGACGACACAGATAAACATTAGCATTTTATATATGTAGATAATTATTAAAAACACAACAAACAACAATTAACACGTTTCGCACTTAAATGAAACCAAAAAAGGCGATATTACCTTTTTATATCATGTTTTATTGCCTTTTCTACCTGACTAAATTTGGTCGGCTGATTGGTATTCTATGTTAACGTTGATCCTGTCTATTTCGCGCATGCGCTTGTAAATTTCGGAACCGAAGTGACGCTACTTGTTGATTTGTTATACTCTGCAGATACTCCTCTGTGCGCTGGTAAAATCTGTACAAAATCTTAACCATTGAAGAAACTCACAAATAAAAACGGTCAGCGGTCTCTCACAGGAAATTGGAATCACTAAAGAGCTCCGACGGGGTTGCAGTATACCCCCCTAACCCCTGATATTATTTACCTAGGTTCGATATTCACAGGAGATGGAAACATAGACAAAGATGGAGCGGACGATAGGGAAATAAACAACAATAGTAATAGTAATACAGGCACGAAATATCAGATGCATAATTCTATGATAAAAACAAGATATATGATATATAAGAGAAACTAGTTAAAAGTATATTACTCTATGGATGTGCAACATGGCAACTCAGTGACTCACAAAAAGAAATAACTAAAGAAATAAACAAATAAGAAAGAAATAAAAGAAAATTAGAAACAAAAGAAATAGACGCGATTAGAATGGCAACAAGAATTTCTCTAAATAATAAGAATTCTATAACATACAGGGCGAGTGTCCTACGATGTTCTCTATGGGTATCTAGGAAACTACACTGGAGATAGAGAGTCGGTTAAATGGGAAAAGAATTGCAGTTTTGTGTGGTCATAAATATGCACCTTTCAGATTTTTAAAAACGTTCATAGCTTACTAGATATTTCGAAAAAAACAAATTTTGGCTATTTTAAAAATTGTCCCTAATTCGGCTCTTACAATTTACATTACATAAGGTAAAACTTAAAAAAAAATAATATCACTACATACACTTTAAGTTATTTTAGAAAATGTTAAAAAAATCCGTCGTTGTTTTGAGTACATAAATGCATCTTTTTAAAACTGAATTTCTAGCTATTCTCACAGAACGACCGGTCGACTTAATTATACTTCTCCTGTACCGTTTCTTCGAGTGCCTCTCTTAATTCATAAGTTGTTTTGTAAACCTTGTTGTTAACCATACCGCATAAAAAATATAAATGGATAGATCAGGTGATCGAGGAGGCTATTGCAATTGGTCCACCTCTTTCTATCCCTAAGTCTACATAATTATGATATAAATAATTTTTAACATTTCTTACATTGTGGGGGTGGTGTGTTATAATGAAAGTCATGTTAGAACCACTCTATTAATGCGCGAGTATCTAAATTTAACTTTTTTAACATGTCTTGAAAACCGTTCTCTAAACAACGTAAGTAACGTTCACCGGTTAACGTATCCTCGAAATTGTATGGCAAAGAAAAGTTGAACCAAGTCGTAATCGTAATCGTAAGTTGAAAAAATCTGAAAGGCGCATATTTATACCCACACAAAACTGCAATAATTCTTTCCCCATTTAACCAACTCTCTATCTTCAGTAGTTTCCGAGATACCCATAGAGAACATCGTAGGAAACTCAGCTTGTATAATTGAGAAGAATACCTATAAATAAATATCTTGGATCTAATATATTTTTGAATGAGATTACACTTAAAAAATACTTACTAATATGATATATGTCTGGCGGTCCATGAAAGTAATGCCCAATTCCATGACCCAAAAATGCTGGTATTACATTGTATCCTAATTCAGATGCCTTCTTTTCAATAGCATATCCAATATCGCGGAAATGAACCTCAGGCTTACACACCCCAATACCTTCATATAAACAAACTCTAGTGGCTTCTACCAGTTTTTTCCCTTCATCATCAACGTCACCTACTAAGAATGTTTTTGAACAATCCCCATGGTAGCCATTATAAAAAACCTGTTGAAAGAACCATAGAGTAAGTAAGAACAATACAAACATATTTAGGCGTACTGTATGATCGAAAAAAAGAACGGTGTCCAGTTGGTTTGGAAATGAACATCGATGTCAGTCCCCATATTTTACATATAAAATGATAGCGATCTTCATTATTTCATAGAAATCGCTGACGCCGTTTTTTTTTCATACGGTATATTATATTGTTAATATACCGTATGATCGAAAAAAAACGGCGTCCAGTTAGCTGGGAAATGAACATCGATGACATTTCTCATATAAATTTACATATAAAATGACAGCGATCTTCATTCCATAGCCATCGCTGACGCCGTTTTTTCTCGATCATACGGTATTATTACTGTGTTGGCTATTCTAACTTGTAAACATGAATATGAACGCGAATATCAGCTCCTAACATTCGTGAGGGCGAATATCAATTTGCTGTTAAAAAATATAAATGAGTATGGACATCATAATTAAAAATATAAAAGATTTTTTTTTAAATGTTTCCTTAAAAAAATTAATTGTGGAAAATATTTGTTGTTATGTTATTAGTAGTGATGTAAAAGGCCCAAGTAGCACTTGGACGTTATCTGATTAAAATACTCCGGAAAACAACGAGCGCCTTCAAAATTAGGTAGATTTATGAAATAAAAATATCTATAAAAAAGTAACTCGCAAAATATTTTTTTAATTTTCTAGCTGGTTTAATCATAAAACTGTACTGTGGTTCCCCCCAAACTCAACCTTATCAATATTATTCTACTAGAAATCGAAATGTGAATATAAATTTTAAAAACAAAAAACGATTTTAAAATGGCTGACAAACTGATACGTGTTAAGAATGGCGGATTTCTGTGTCCGACTTAATATGAACTACCAATATACCAATTCCGACCGGGTCTCCAACATTAGTCGTCTCACACGACCGAAGTCATCAAGCCGGACGACCGGCAATCGTATTATGACGTATATAATTCCAACCTACGCCACGCATACGCCACGTAACCTCACTTTGCGTATCAGTGATTTGTGGATTTGTGCAACTATATTTTAGTTTTTGTTTTCTCCTTAAAAAAAATGGGCAGCCACTTTTTTAAGCCTAACCTCACATGTCGGAGGAGGATGGGGTCTGCTGGTTTCCTAAGCTAAAAAATTAAATTAAGATGCACCTGTGTAATGCAGCATCTCTTCCGGATAAAAAGCATTTACGGGTGGAGGCAAGACATCACTACTACTATTATTATTTTGCAAAAGCCTCGACCTCTTTCTGTAAAATGTAGATGAATGTCTAAATGCCTTTTTAGGCATAATAAAAAAATTAAGTTTGCTTACAAAAACTTTTTATTAGGTTATGTTCATGATGTTCATTAGGTCGCAAATGCTACTTAATGGGTTGTATTTACGGACGTAAATAAAGATACGTAAATTAGGTTATAAATATGAACATAAAACACAACAAAATATAATTGGACGTTACTTTAGGGAGTATCAGTGAGACGTATCCTATTCGGACAACGGGTATATAGACGTCGGGCTAGTTCAAGTATATGTACGTCGTGCAAGCCAACGTGGAAATTAATAAAAATGGTACGTTGTTATTTTGTACGTCGACAGATCGTTGGATTTACCGACTCGGATCCAACGACGTCGCTTTTAATAGGAAAGCGACGTCACAGGTCGTATCACCAGCACCCGACCTAAATTTGCACAAAGTCTGACGTCGCTTCAGGTCAAATTTAGTTCGAAGTCAGATAGATGCTACTTGGGAGGTAATATTACCCCGGTAATATATATTATTGTATATATTAATAAATATAATATTACCAGTAATTTTGGCAATATTACGTAATATAATTACGCAAGATCGGTAACATTGGTAATATTGCTTTTTTTCCCGCTCTACTCTTTTCTCATTTGTCTAACTTTACTAGACTCAATTAACGAAAGAGAAAGAAGAACCAGATGACGATATTGAGGATGATTTACCATTATCCACTCTATTACGTATTATAATATAAGCCACTCTGACTCTGACTCTACTGTGTTCCAATGGAATTGATAGCACAGATCGAGAGTTGTGGACCATAAAATAGCCATAGGCGCGACGGAACTACCTGCCCCGTAACCTGTATTCATAGACATTAAAATAAAAAACTAGTATTTAAATATGTAATACCTGTATAGAATAAAAGCTGAAATAGTTCGTATTCAGTAACTAGCAAGTAACGTCTATTCGTCTAATTAAGATGGCTTCAAGTTCAAGTTTTTCTCCAATTTCTATTCAACGAGTTATCAAAAGTGCATATTCCGTGCGGGAAAAAACATGGCTCAACTTTCGTTTAGCTGAAATCTGTTATATAAAAAATTACTTTATATATGCGTTCTAGAAGGCGTTAAGCTTGATTTTCATGCATCCGTTGTCCGACGATACGTTGATACGATATTGGGCGCGTTCAGGGAACACAGCCGCTGACATTCAGCGTAGAATTTCGCTGACCAGCAGCTTACGATATTCCCTAAACGGCACAAAGCAGCTGAAAGAACAAGAGACAGTAGCTGTCTCTTGCGCTCTCTGTCTACTATAAAAACTTGAGAGAAATATAAATAAATCGTCTTCGTCAAATCTGTCTATAATCGATCTTTAGTCTTTAGAATAAAAATTATTTTGAAAAAAGATTTATTAGTACTGACTGATCATTTAATAATTAAAAATATATTATTTGACAATACAGTATTAAACATTAAATTTCTAAAAAATAACAGTTTATAAAAATAATTTTACCAATACACCTAAACAAAACAAAACTTAAAATAACAGGAAATGGCAGTTCGACCAAGTCACGTTTTACGCATTTTTTTTTTCGATGGTATGGTACAAATAAAATTACTGAAGGTGTAAATACCCTACAATAAAAAAACGACGTCAGGGGTGATGTGGAGGTGAAGATTGCTGTTACTTATTATAGGGAATATTATCGATCGTTATTTATAAGCCAACTAGGCGCAATTTTTTTCGATTAGACGGTATTATAATTACAATCAAAAGTTATTTATGCTGATTTAGATTTTTTCAAAAAGTAGCATTTTTTCTTAATTTCAATGTATTTAGAAAATTCTACATGAGATGAAAATCAAGTTGAATTTTCTTTATTTCTTTAACTTCTTCGATCTCTATTTACTTCTAAGTCTTTTTCGGACGTTTTAGATTAACCTACTGCTTTGTAACTTTTTTGGCAACAAATATCTCCTATTTTTAAAGATTCGATTAACTACGATTGACTACAAACTTCAACAAACCATAAAAAGTAAACAATAAACTGAGAAAATTAAAGTTGTTTTTAGTTATTTTACATTAGTTGAACAGATAAGGAAATAGATCAAGGCTGACTTGTCTCCTAAATCTTTACCGCTAAGAATTTTGCACAGCGGCTGACTGTTGCTGTTCCTCAGAATAGACCGTTTAGGGAAATCGCTTACTCAGCCACTCAGCCGCAGACCATCCCTGAACGCGTCCATTAATTTCATTGGTTGTATTTAAAGGCTTCGATTGGTTAACCGTTTCTAACCGACTGAAGTCTTTAAATTCAACAATAAAATTAATATCGCATCATCGTATCGTAACTTTAGGAGTATAAATATACAAAAATTTTCCTGCGGAAATGCGTCATTTTCATTTTTCGGACTTTAGTATAGCCGAAATCTGTTACATCAAAACTAGTCTTCGGGTGTGTTTTAAACATTTTTCTAAACATAAAAACACAAAAAAGTGTCTGCGGAATTTTTTTATTTTTATTTTACATAAAAAAATGCTTTGACTTTAGAATAGCCGAAATCAGTTACATGAAAAATGAACTTATATTTGTTTTATACGAGCCTTTACGAGCAAAGAAATACACAAAAATTCCTGCGGAAATGTGTCAATGTCATTTTGTGCACTTTGTTTTTCATACATTTTTCAGTTTAGAAGCTTACGGGACCCGGGAGCGCATAGGGGTGCTAGGTGGGGTAAAACATCTTTCGGAGGAATAACAATTCTTGTAGAATAGATAATATAGGTTCTTGTAAACCCTATAAGTACCTCGGAATGTTGCACTGATTCTTGTTTTTTATTAAAGCTTTACGTAAATAGGGCTGATTCAAAACAAAAAATCATTTTTTCATTTTATTTTATTAATAAACTGTGATTTTGCAAAAATATTAGATTGGTTAGCATTTGGGTTGCTTTGGCTAGATTTTCTTTGTGGAGGGTGTTAAGCTGTGGTTTTTATATTTTAATAATTAAGTGTGATTTTGCAAAAATATTTTACACTTTATAGACACTTTTAAATGATTTTTTTTTGGTTCAAAAGTGCTTCATCCAAGGATTTTTTTCTTTTAAACTGTTCTATAAAAATAGGACTTTCTGCCAAAAAAAAAATAAATTCGGGGGTACTTATACTTTACAAGACCCGATAATACGAGTATAATAAGGTGAATATATTGTTTTATAAACTGTCTACTTTTTAAAAAATGGTGTGCATGTTATAGCGATATTAAGAATAGATATTATTCATTGATCTGTATTAAAGGTCGGAAAGAGGATCACTATTCGTTCTAAAACATGAAAAGCAAAATTCCGTAGACTTTTTTGTGATAATAACAAGGTCTGAATACTAGTAAAACATTTTTTATATTACCAAGTAATTCGACCGAATTACCTTTTTGACCACATTAGTTCCGCTGGGAGTCGAACTCAGATCGCGGAGGTGAACAGTCTACAGCACTAACGCACTAGAAACTGTGCCAACCTCCCCGGCTATTCCGCACATTTCTTTTGGTGTTTTTATAGTGGAAAATATGTCTAAAATTCAACAGAACAACTAGCGTAAATGTAACTGATTTCGGCTATTCTAAAATCAGAACATTTTTTATATAAAATGAAAATAAATAGTTTCCGCACAGTTTTTTCTTGTTTTTATAATCGGAAAAATGTCTAAAATTTAATACAAACATTGATA